ACTGATCTGTAACTTTGTATTCATTGATTTAATAGAGGGAATGACCCAAGGGAAATCAGGATGGAGATTACAATAAACTGGGATCAGGTGTCTGGACAGGAGTTCTAACACAGGAATGCTCAATACTGTACAAATGGTGAACTTTTCTGAGATACATTTCTGTAATCTGAAAAAAAGATATGTCATCTCCAAGATTCCTTCTAACTCTAAAATATATAATACTCTGATAAAAATTTCCTTTGATAATTCTTTAGGCAATTAATTCACTATCTGCACTGAGTTCCTTGGAGCAACTTCAAATATAGCTACATACGTTTTGGGGGGCTTTCTATCCCAAAATGCAGGCTATGAAGATTTGGGTCATCCTTAAGGAAAAAGAATTGTGTAAGTCAGGAATGAGTAAAGAATGTTGACGTTATTTTAATCAGCCATATATTCAGCCAATATGACAAAAAGTTTGTCCTTTCTTGCTTAAGAAGGAAGGGTGCACAGTGTCCCAGTCCTCCATCCCAGGTGACTTCCTTCTCTTCATTAGCCACTTTGTAGACTTAGTTCAGTCTTAAGCTCTGCAGCTGTAAAGTAAGCAGTGTTTTCTTCTGTGTTTAATAATCCAAAGTTCCAGCACCAGTTATAGGAACTCAACAAATGTATATTAATTTCCTTTCTCTATATACTGTTGAGGACTATGTTGCAGATACTATTGTGTTCTCCTTACCCCAGGATGTTACCTTGTCTGGAACTAGGGCTGTTTCAGTTGTACTTAGGATGTGGATTTACTGAGGTAGGATGGGCTCATCATTTAACACAACCAGGTCCCTACTTCAAAAAGATAAATTTCAACAAAGAATCAGCAACAATGCCATGTGGATATTATAGATATTCTGTCATAAGCTTGCCCAGAAACTAGAGAAGACCAGAACTGATCTTTCTCTAGTGCATTCCAAGGGAACACTGCCTTGGCTATACCTTGACTTTGACTTTTGGCTTCTAGAACTGTGAGGCAACAAATTTCTGTTTTTCTAAGTCAACCAATTTGTAATATTTTGTTACAGCAGCCCCCGAAAACAAATACAAGCTCTAACATAGGTCTGTGGTATGATGTGGTTAGGATTAGATTTACTTTAAGCTCAATTCCAGCAAAGGTATTAGAACCATTACAGGCTTATAGATTTGTTTTGCCTTTGCTGCTGTTTGGGTTAGTACTGATGCAAGTATGTTTATCTATGAATTATGAGGCATCTGGTTTCTAGTACTTGGCTTTTCCACTTATTAGCTGTGCAGTTAATCTCCTTGATCTTCCATTCCCTGATAATAATAGTCTTTGACCTAGAGAACCATGAGTTTATTTGTGATGGTCAAAAGAGATATATAAGTGAAAAACAATCCTGAGGAGAAGTATGGACCAAAGAGAATTTAGTGGTAAGGTCAGAGGCCCTACATGAGTTTAAGTCTACACCTCTCTTTACTAGTTGTGTTACTTCACTACAGACTCAATTCTATCATTTTAAAATGAACATTATAATAGTTCCTGCTTATCAAGGTGCTTGTGAACATCAAATGAGTCCATATACAAAGAGGTCTTAGAATAGGATCTGGCATATAAAAAGTACTCTATAAATACCATCAAGTGTTTTGCAAACTAAATAGACCCATACAAATGTTCAATTCATTCATTGTAATTTATAGATACTAAAGTTTATTGACTTTGCCCAATATTCAGTATAAATCAATAGTGATTTTGCACATCAATGACTGATTTTCCAGCTCATTGTCAACAGGCATTTCACTATCATATTTTGATAACCCAGAAGAGCTAAGCAAATGTGTTTGCAGAAAAGGATGTTATTGAGTAGATTAGGATTGTCCAGTAAGTCAGAAGAACCTTGGAACCAAAGGATATTTCCGGTAGTCATTTTCCTGCCAATTCCTTGTGTGAGGATATTCTAGAGCCAAATTTTAGTAAGCATTGTATTTGCCCACTTCTATCACTATAAGGAAATACTCAAGGGAAGCTAACTTACAAAGAAAAGGTTTATTTAGTTCACAGTTTTGGATACTGAAAATCCAAACAGTATAGTACAGGCTCTGGTGAGGTTACGCCTTTTCTGTGTCAGCTCATGGTGGATTGCAATGACATGAGTTCATGCTGTAGTGAGCAATCACATCTTCAAACAGAGAGCCAGAGGGATTCCATAATCCCTTCTGAGGACACACCCCAATTGACCTAAAGACTTCACAGTGCCCCCAATACTGCCATCATCTGAGCCAAGATTCCAACGTATGAAACTAGGAGGATACACTAGTACCATATCCAAGTCATAGCAAGCATCATACAAATTGATATAATAACATTTTTTAAAGAAGCAAAGGATACTGTAATTTCCCTGACATGCACGCTTGGTATCTTTATGGAAAGACAATTGACTCATAGATGTGTGAACGTGTTTCTGGGCTCTCCATTCTAATTTTTGGTCAATATGTCTGCTTTATGCTATTACTTTGGCATTTTGATGACTATATCTTCATAATATATTTTGAAAGTCACTAGCATGATCCCTTTAGCTGTGTTCTTTTGGATCAAGATTGCTTTGACTATTTAAAGTATTTTGTGGTTCCATATGAATTTTAGGATTGCTTTTTTTGCCTATGAAAAAGACCCTGGAATTTTTATATTGACTGTAGGTCAATTTGAAGAGTGTGAAAATTGTAACAATATTAACTCTTTTAATTCATAAGCAAGGATATTTTTTCATTTATTTGTGTCATCTTTAATTATTTTCATCAAGGTTTTATAGTTTTCTATATGAAGATCTTTCACTTTCTTGGTTAAATTTACTCCTAAATAGGTTGTTTATTTTTATGGTACTGTAAATAGGATTGTTTTTGTTTTCTTTCTTCTATTTTTTTGCAGTCCTGGGGCTTGAACTCGGGATCACAAGCTTGCTAGGCAGGTTCTCTACCACTTGAGCCACTCCACTATCCCTGTTTTGTATTGGCAATTTTCAAGAAAGGTTCTCATGAACTGTTTGCCTGGGCTGGCTTCAAACCATGATCCTCCTGATCTCTGCCTACTAGTAGCTAGGTAGGATTATTTTCTTAATTATTTTTGCACCGATCATTGTTGGTGAGTAGAAATGCTTCTGACTTTTTAAAGTTAATTTTTTAATCATATTATTGTTGTACTGGGGGTACACTGTGACATTTACAAAAGTTCTTACAACATACCATAGTTTAACTCACCTTGTATTCAGTAACTTTATTGATTTTATCAGCTCTTATTTTTTTTGGTGGAATCATTATTATTTTCTAAGTATTTGATCAACATTGTCACAGAAAAGTGAAAATGGACTCTTATGCATCAACCCAAAATGGGTTAGAGACTTAAAAATAAGACCAGAAACCATAAAAATCAACAGAAGAAACCACGGGGCAAGTTGTGTCATGTTGGTCTGGTAGTGATTTTTTGCATAAGATCCCAAACACCCAGGCAACAAAAAGAAAAATAGGGAAAGGAGATTCCATCAAACTGAAAGGGTTTTGCACACATAGGAAATAACAGAGTTAAAAAAACACAGTGAGAAAAATTATTTGCAAAGTATATGCTAGGTAAAGGGATAATATCTAAAATATACAGGCACCCAAGTTATCAAATAACAAGAAAACAAAAAACCCTATTAAAATGAGAAAATGATTTAAATAAACATTTTTTCAAAAGAAGAAATTCAAATGGAAAACAGATTAAAAATGCTCAGCATCTCTAATCATCAGAGATATGTAAATTAAAACCATGATAAGAAATCACCTCACATCTGTTAAATTAACAAGTGTTGGTAAGGATGCAGAGAAGAGGAAACACTTATGCACTGTTGGTGGTAGTATATATCTGTATTCTGTAGCCATTTTGAAAAACAATGTGGACGTTTCTCAAAAATCTAAAAACAGAACTACTATATGTAGCAATTCTACTACAGGTCCTATATCCAAGGTAATTGAAATTTTTGTGCCAAAGATATGTCTGTACTCGCACATGTGTTTCAGCATTATTCACAAAAGCTAAGATGTGGAAACAATCTAAGTGACCACAAATGGATGAGTGGATCTTAAAAATGTGTTGTATATGTAGATGTGAATATATATATAGTGAAATACTATTCAGCTTTAAAAAATAGGGGATTCTGCTATTTGTGACAATATGGATGATTCTAGAGGACATTGTGTTAAGTGAAATAAGCTAGTCCCAGAGGTACCAACACTTATGATCCCACTTACATGTTGGAGCTAAAAAGTTGAATTTATACAAATAGAAAAGTAGATTAGTGGTTGCCAGAGTTATGTGGGAGAGAGGGGTGTTAGTCTGGGGGTGTACAGTTAAATAAAAGACATAATTTCTTTTGTTCTGTTTTGCAGCATATTGTATGTCTTAAAAATATCAGTAAGAGATGGTTTCAAATGTTCTCACCACAAGGAAATGATAAATCTTTGTGGTGACTGATATGCCAATTACCTTGCTTTGATCATTCCACAATGCATGAGACAGCAAAACATAACATTGTACCCTGTAAACATATATACAATTATTTTTAATTAAAAATTTAATAATCAAGACATTCAAGTAGATTTAACTTAGCATGCAAAAATGGAAATTGATCTTTTAAAATTGCTTTTAAACATTTCTAATGAAACCTGCATATATTTGAATTGAGATACATTATTTATATGTCACCCTCCTAGTTGAGATTAGATTAAAAATGTAGCCAGCCACTTTCTCACACTGCTGTATACCTCAAGGTGAGTTTATAGGCCAAAAAAAATACTACTATTGGAAAAGACTATTTGCTCGTGTGTGTCTGGTGGAAAGAAATATTTTCATGTCCGGCCTTCCAGAGGAGAAAAGTCATTTTCGTAAACACCTCCTATAAGTTTACTAGAAGGAAATAGGAACAGTTGAGACTTGTAAAACAAATTACAGTATCACATTCATTCAATTTCATAAAACTTACCCAGGAAGTATATATCTGGATGACAGATTGTCTCAATGCTGTGGATAAGTTATAGTCTTCAGAACTGTGGTGTGTTTGGTGTCCAGCCCACATAATATTAACTTCTGCAAAACACGTAATTTGAAATGAGCCATGAGAATAAGAACAAAGCAACTTCCATTTTCAGTTTATACATTGTGCTCTGTTGAGTGAGGATGAAAAGTCTGGAACATCTTGAAAAAACTAGCAATATAATTGTAATTAAAATAAGATGCCTCGAGTAATTTTTGGAACCAGACAGTATACAAATTATAAATAAATAAAAATTGTGGCACAGCCCATAAATATGTATAGTATACATGACATAATTAAATGCTACCAGTGAAATGACATGACTTTTAAAATTTACACTTTGCTAACATTTACAATATGACAGATCATAAAAGCTAACTGGTAATGTAACAATGCAGTCATTTGATGGTGATGATTTTTCACTATGTGATAACATATTTCTAATTAAAGAAAAATTCTCTGATGGGGGAAATTGCTACATAAATTTTGGAATGAACTATTACATAATATTTTTTCCTGATGGTTGGAATAAGAAGAAAAATATGGTCATATTTGGTCCTGGAACTTAAGACTTTATTTTTATTTTATAGAAATATATTAATGAATCATTAGTATGATTCTTTTCATACCTTACTATGATACTATATTGTTTCTTAAGTTGCCTATATAGTTGCTATTTGTCCTCATAATAAAGAAAGAAAAGGATGTTTTTTATTTTCATTAAGAATTTCTCAGATTGCCCTTATTATGCTTTGTGATTCATACACACACAAACAATAATAAAAACTATGACTCTAGAATAACTCTCTAGGTCAATAGAACCAGAGAAAGCAAGTAACTGTATTCTACCCATGTTCTCTTTTGTTGATATATTTCATCACCTAACAAAATCACAGATGAAAATGCCATATTACATTCTACTCAGTTAAAAACATTTATATATTCTTAGTTACACTAACTTATATTTAGTCTTTTGCTACAAATCCAGAAAGATAAAGTTAATCATGTGAGATGATCATTGTGTCCTGGCTTGTATAGACTAGCAATCAAAGTTTTTAGGCTGGATGCATGGGAATTGAATAATGAACCTAAGAATGAAAATTGGTCCTTGCAGTGTTATTTTTCTTTGCAGGTTATCAGTCTTTGCAGTGGCCATAGACTAAAAGTGAAAGCACCTGGCATATGGCAGAATTATTTGTTAGATGTAAGTATTTTGTATGATATAGCTAATATGTATATATATATAGATATACAAGTAGACTTATTGGTGATACTTTATTAAATGAAAACTTCCCTGAACAATCTATGTAGGGAGTTACTAAACAAAATTTGCAAAGCAGATGTGTCATAGCAAAAAGGTGATAGCTCATAGATATAAAAAGAATGATATTTTGATCAAGATTCTGAATAGACAATTGTATCAGACATCACTGCTAATAAAGTCTTATATTTTCAAGAGACAAAAGTATTTTCATTGCCCAATATCTGAAAGGTAATTTATCTGATAGGTAACTGATCTTGACTGGTTAATGCTTTAATCATTTTAATCATGTCTAATAATGACACTATATTTGCAGCCAGTGATTAAGGAAATTGGTTTTATACTAATGAAGATTATTTCATTACAATGACTTCTAAAACTACTCAAGAATAGTCTTTGAAATCTTTTATTAGAACCGTAATCTCTGCCTTACATATTAGTATACATAACTATATGTAAGAGTATACATAAGATATGGGACTTTATATCTTCAGATGTTGTGTAGAAGTCATTTAAGAGGTAATAAAATTTGATGAACCTCCTAAGTATGTAAGCTATTTACAGATTGAGCCCTTGAAATAATCTAAACACCATTTTCTCTTTATAACAAACTCATTATTCATCATTTCAGAACCTATTACTTATAAGCCTTTATTACAAATCAACATATTTTCTGTTTCTTGGACCTTTCAGAATTTGATTTTTAGAATTCATCTAAAACTGAATTCACAAAAGGATGAGCTAATCAGATGAGGTTAAATTAGCCTAATACATTGGAGTTACTTCCTTATAACCTCCACAGAAGCTAATAGTGGAACAAAGGATCCACAAAGGTGGAGGTTAAAGACCTGTCTCTTTAGTTGTTTTAAAAGCATTTACTTCCTATCACAAACTGTGTGTAACACAAGCCCTCATTCAATGAAGTACAGCTGTATAAACAGGGTACAGAAACAGGATCCTACTGCCTTACCTCTGTCACTTTCAGAAACAGGAAAAACAAGCTAGAATTTTTTTTCACAAGCTGGAAAACTAGAATTTTTTTTTCACAGTCTATATTCAGCTTATTGGAAGTAAATTATTTTCAAAAGTTGCTATAGAAATGCACTTTACAGAAAATTATTCCAATAGTTCTCTTGTGAATGAAATGAGAAAAGGCAAAATTATGACATTTATATGTTCAGCTTCCCTAATACTTGAGTGAATAAATTGTCTACTCAAAGCAATGAAAACAAATATTGAGGAAAAAAAGTATTATTCAGAGTAAGCTTCTTTTTATAAAAAGCTTAATATAATAACATAATCTGTTCAATCATAATATTTTGGGTTTTCATTAAGCAAATTATAGGCTATGTATGCCTATGACATGTTATTTCAGCTTTTCTGTAACACAATTGGAAACAATTGTGCTGCTTTCTAGTACCAAAGTATAGATTTGAATAAATATATTTTATTAATACTTACTCAATTATTCTGCTCATTTGGACAAAATTTAATGCAATGTTGAGTGTGTTATATTCTTGAGAATAAAAGTATAAGTTATAGTAAAATCTATCTTTTAAAATATTCAGTTCTAAAATTTTTTAACAAACAAATGTATGTAGGTATACAATCACTGCAGACAGAGATCAGCTTCATCACCCCCAAAAGGTTCTCACCCTCCTTTGGGGTTGAAGTGGGAAAACTCTAAGATGGCCCATGACTCAGATAATAACATGAACTTTGACCTGATTATGTAATGGGATGAAACTTTGAGGACCTACGGAAAACTGAATGTCTTTTGAGTGTGGGACAAACCCATCTTTGAGGTTCAGAGAGCTGAGTGGGGGGTGGTTCCCAAAGATTCCTGACCACTGATGTTCATGGCTTTTATAATCCTTCTCCTCCATTGGGTGTGAGCTGGATTTAGCAATTACTTTCTAGGGAATAGAATTGTGGGAATCTGATAGGTTGTTATTCTTGATATTAGGTAACACAAAAACAGTAGCTTGGCCTCAGTTATTGCCTCCCATACTCTCCAGTGCTTGGTCTGAGGAAAGCCAGTTACTATGATGTGATCTGATCTTTGGAGAAGTACATATGGCAGGGAATTGAGAGAAGTGTCTGACTAACCAACCAGCAAGGTACTAAGTTGCCCAGTCCAAATGCCAGGAGGAAATGAGTCCTACCAAGTGAGTTTGCAAGCAAACCCTCTCCAGTTGAGCTCTCAGATTGCACTGCAGCCTGCAAACAGCTGAATTGCTTTACCTCAACCTTATGAAAGACCAAGAGCTAGAGGCATTCATCTCAGCCTTGGCCTGATTTCTGACGTACAGATATGATGAGATTATAAATGCTTTTTATTTTAAGCTACTAATTTGTTATAAATCAATAGATAATCAATATAGTTATCAACTTCCTGTCATTCTCAGTTCACAGAATCCACTGATATGTTTTCTTTCCTTAAAAGTGCTGTCTTTTGAGAATGTCATACAAATGGAATCATACAGTATTTAACCCTTTGACTGTGGCTTTTAAAGTTGAGCATATGGTGTTAGAGATTCCTCCATTTTGCTGTGTTTATTAGTAGTTTGTGCTGTCATGTTTCTGAATAATATTCAGTATCAGAGGTTTATTCTCTTTTTCCTTATTTTTCATTCTAACAGCATTTGCTTCCATTTTGAAAATTACAAATAAAGCTTCTATGAACATAATCACAGGGGTTTTCTGTGATTAGAAATCTCCATTTCACTTGGTTGAAAACCCAGGAGTGGGATTGCTGAGCTGTGTAGTGTGCTTATTTTTAGCTTCTTAACAAACTGTCAAAGTGTTTTCCAGTATGCTTCTGCAATTTTGCATTAGCATCAGCAGTGTGTGAGCATAGAGTACAAGTTGTTTTACACCTAAGGGAGCACTTGAGATCACTCATTTTATTTTTATTTATTTGACAGTTATTGTAATATGTTGTGTTATCACACTGAAATGTTAAATTGCACTGCTCTAATGGCTAATGATCCACGTGTTATTTGCCTTCTATATATCTTCTTTCTGAAGTATCTACTTAAAATTTGAGCCCATATTTTAATTGGGTTGTTTCCTCCATGATATCTTTATGTCTTCTGCATACAAGTTCTTTATTAGATGTTATTTATATATTTTCCTCCCATTGTATAGCTCAAGTTTCCACTTTTTACATTATCTTATGAAAAAGTAAAGTTTTTAGTTTTTATGAAATCTAATTTATGAACTTGAGAGTTTTATTAATTTTTTGAACATATAACTAAGAACAAAGGTTTTTTTGGAGAAATGCCTTAGAGTAATGTGAAATCCACGGGTCCAGAAGCTAGCCTTCTATGCATACTATGCATCTAAACTATATCAGTGTATATTTATTGTCTCATGACTTGTCACCTATGGAATGGATACAAGTGGTGTTTTAGGATAATAAGAGACATAAGAATAGGTCTGCATAGAATTTTCAGTTGTATATACCAGCAATTTAGTTCACAATAGTGAACAGGACAGAATATCCTGGGGCATCCTTAGATTGAAATTTTGCTTTGGTTGATAATCTGGGAACCCCCCAGTTATTTGGGGAAAAGTGTTACCAGTATTGTGTAAAATGTTAGTGATGCTTGACACCATTAAATGCATATTGGCAATACTTTATGTAGCCCACAGTCCATTGTACAGTGACAGTGGAATGTAGGAGCTGGATCTTTGTTCTTAGTTTTATTTTTCTATAATAGAATACCTGAGACTGGTTAGTTAATAAAGACCAGAAATTTATTTCTCAGTTCTGGAGGCTGA